AGGTCAGGCTCACCCCGCTTCCCCGGGCCCTCGTAGACAGGAGTGTCTGTTCAGGGCTGCCTGCCGGTGTGCCCTGTCAGAGAGGACCAGCCCTCTGGTGGTCTGGGTGACCTCGGGGAGTGCTGTTCACCTGACAGCCACTGACCCTCCTCTGCTTTTAAACCGAGGTGGCGGCCTCACAGGAGGGGCTGGGCTGCACACGGACAACCCATACTCTGAGCAGCCTGAAGTAGCGTTTCCTCTGTAGCAGCAGCCTCTAGCCCACCTTGACCCCAGTATCTCTTTCTCAGTTGAATGAATGAATGATGAACGAAAGAATGAGCCATGGGCCGACCAGGCCTGATATACCAGGATGGGGGAATCCAGCCTGCAGTGGCCAGGGAGGCCCCCAGGAAGGGCTGTAGCCTATACTGCCTGGAAAGGGTGTGGGAGGGAGGTGTGGAGAGCAGAGCCCACTGTGAGAGAAGGTGAGACAGGGTGGACCTGTATGGACAGGGGACAGCTGGGATCTGCCATCATACGTCCTATGGGCCAGGTCCTATGCTAAGGGCTGGGGACTTCTGGGGAACTGGGCACCCCTGACTCCTCCCTTCATGCCACCATCAGATAATAGCAGGTGGTAACAGGTGTGATGAATTCCTGGGAGAGGCTTCCCTGGCCACAGAGGACAGCCTTGAGGTGTATGCTGAGGAGGAGGCAGCCAGGTGTGCCCAGGGTTTGCATTTTCCCGAGCTCTTTGGTGTCTCCTGGCAGCCATCTGCCTGTTGGACGAGGCCGTGGATTGGCCCTTGGTGATCCCCTCTCCATTCTGACATCTGCGTGTGCCCCGCTGCTGACAGGGAAGGCTCGCGCCAGATGGATGTCATAAACAGGAAATTCCCCTCAAACCTCTCTGCACTCATCTGGGTGCCGCACAGAGCCATCTGGCTGCACACGCCCGTGAAGTTGCTCCTGCTAATTACGCCACACGCAGCCTGTTCCTTGGAGAGACTCACGTCCTCCTCATTTCCTGCCATCGCTCCCCTGCCTCTGCTTCCCCACGGAGCCTCTGAAATGTGGCGGGAGGGCCATGGGGAGAGGGAACAGATGGTGGGCGGCCCTGGAAGTCCCAGGCCCCGGAGCTTGGACAGGGTCATGGGGAAGAGTCACTCTGCACCAGGTCTGGGCCAGATTCCCAAGATACCAGGGCAAATGAGAGCAGTGGGGATGGTGAAAAGCCAGCGTGGTGAGGGCAGAATGTGCACACTGCTGTGGGACCCCTGGGTCAGACCTGCCAGCCTGGGGCACAGAGGCAGCTTCCTGGAGGAGGCAGCATTTCCATGTTCAGAGAGGAGCAGGTGTTATCAGGGAGCGGGAAGTGGAGGCATGTTCCAGGTGGAAAGAGCAGCTCACGGTGAGGAAGGACAGTGGTCAGTGCCAGCCTGCAGGGTGCAGATGCAGGGGTGGAGGGGGCTGGGGTCTGCTAGAACAGACTGGGGACCAGTGAGCAGTCACAGAGAGGTTGAGAGCAGGGCAGTGATATGGCCAGTTTGGCATTTAGAGCAAACACAGACTCTGCTGGGCAGGCAGGTCTTGTCCACTGCAAAATGAATCTCCCCTCCTCTGTTGCTTCCTTTGTGATGTAGCAAGCTGCAAACTCTCAAACTCTTTCTAGGAAATGGCGTGGGGGCTGGTAATGACAAAGACAAAACTTAATTTTATTGCTGGGAATCGGTTCTACTTTTAGAGGTTTTCCCCTGCAACCTCCCCATCCTGTTAAGGCAGGCGTCCTCAAACTACGGCCCATGGGCCACATGTGGCCTGCCGAGGACATTTATCCTGCCCCCTGGGTGTTTTTGCCGCTGCTGCCTGTCCTGCTTAGCAGCTGACTTGTCCTGGGGCCCACAATCCGGTCCTCCAACAGTCTGAGGGACAGCGAACTGGCCCCCTGTTTAAAAAGTTTGAGGACCCCTCTGTTAAGGTATTGATGGGAGGGCAGAGAGGGGGTCTGGTCCTAGCAGTTCTCAGAAGACTTAGAGAGCAGCCTCTGAGATGCTGGGGTCTGGAGCCACCTTTGCAAACATGAAGAAGTTAGGGTTCAGAGGTGTGGACGGCCCTGCCTGAGGCCGCAGTGTGTCTGCAGCATAACTGGACCGTGGGACCAGAACCCCCTTTCCCAGCCAGGCCTCCTCCGCTGACCCAGGCTGTCCCTGTTGGCCAGTCCAGGTGGTGCAGTGAAGTCTGGGCAGGGAGAAGGTCTTGGCCTACATTTGATTGATGGGATAAGTTTCAATCCAAACTGCTGTGGCCCTTGTTTGGTGGATGTTGACATATAAACATTACTTAAAAAAAAAAAGCTGTATATGAGAAAAGCCAAATTGGGGTGGGGTGAGGGAACCCTGCAGGGGAAATATTTAAACATTTACACGTGGGCAGGACAATGTTTGTCTGGCTGCTGTTTTCCCTCTATTTCTTCCACACTTTTTTTTTTTTTTTGAGACAGAGTCTCTGTCACCCTGAGTAGAGTGCCAGGGCATCATAGCTCACAGTAATCTCAAACTCCTTTGCTCAAGCAGTTCTCCTGCTTCAGCCTCCAGAGTAGCTGGGACTACAGGCACCACCACACCTGGGTAGTTTTTTCTATTTTTAGTAGAGACCGATCTCAATCTTGCTCAGGCTGGTCTTGAACACATGAGCTCAAGCAATCTATTGGCCTCCGCCTCCTAGAGTGCTGGGGTTACAGGTGTGAGCCACCACACTGGCCTCCTCCAGACTTAAAGACAGGGCAAGCTGCTTAGGGCTGCCCAGCTGGTGGGAGGCTGGAGGGTGAGAACCCATACAGCAGCAGGGGTTCATGTCACGCTGATAGCAGGGCACTTCCTGTGTCCCTGGCACTGCAGGCTTTGTGTGTGTGATGTCACTTCCTACTTGCCATTTCCTGTGATTGCAGATGTGGGCACTGAAGCTTAGGGAGATGGAGTCCTTGGTCTAAGGCCCACTTGTGAGAGGCACAATGAGGGTTCTCACTGGGGCCACTGGTCATCAAAGCCCTGCTCCCATCTGCTCGGCCACGCTGCTTCTTGGGGAAGGGATACTTGTTCATGTCCCTGGCCAGAGTTCCCAGCTGGTGGTCACTTGGCCACCTGTATCAGCCACCTAGGGCCTTGGTAAAGCCCTACTTCCTGCCCCATTCCTACCCATTACTGAATCAGAGTCGCTGGTGGGGCCTGGGAATCTGTGTGTTTCACATACAGCCAGGGAGTTCTGAGGAGAACCCCTGCCCTGCATGGTGCGAGGCCTGTGAGAACTGAGGGTGATGCATCTGTGGCCCGGGAGGGCTGCTGCCGTGCACACGAGACATATTACAGCGTTGTGCAGAGAGCTCTGCTGGTGACGGAAAGAGAGCAAACATAAGAGAGAGGAGGCAGGACAAAGAAAGGTCTAAATGTTTAAGTGTCCACTCAAAAGGGAGCAAATCAATACATGGTGATACGATCATGCAAAGGAATATTATACAACAGTGAAAATGAATGGATCTGACCTACACGCCCATGCATGATGCCGTTTATGTGGATGTTTTAAACATGCAAAACAGTGCTGGGTCCTGTTTATGCAAGTGCTATTATCACCATGGAAACAGCTGACCTTTGTTGAGGGCCTTCTGCTCCAGATGCTATGCTGTGGATTAGATCATTCAGTTCTTTTGACAGCCATATGAGGGATAAGCCCTGCTGTTGGCTGTTTCCCAAAATGAGACAACTGAGACACAGAAGGGCTGAGTGACCTGGACAGCCTCACACAGCACACGGCTGAAGAGTTTGGCTGGGGGCAGTCTAGCCCAGCACCTGGGCTCTAGACCCCACCAGCCAGTGTATCATCCCCAGCATCAGAGAACTTGTCCCAAGTGCCTCCGGATGCTGGGGACAGACTGGAGGAGAGGGTTGTGGATGGAAGGGTTATTGCCCCATTTTATAGACGGGGTGACAGAGGCATACCAGGGCAAAGTCAGAAGCCCCAAAGGGCACAGAGTGAACCCTTGATGATATCAACTGTCTGATAGCCACACGCCCAGCTCTTTGCAGTATCTCAGGTGATCCTTGCAGCCACCCTGACAGGTCAGGGCTATAGGGGTCCCCAAGGATTATACAGGGGCTTGTGACCCCTGTTTAGCAGAGGAGGACATTGAGGTTCAGCAGAGAGGTTGCGGTCAGGACTGGAACCCAGGCCCGTTGGGGTATAGAGCCCAGCTGGTCACCTCTCAAGGGTACCCCCACCCCCACACTGGCTACTTGCTCTTGAGGCCAGCCAAGGCCAGTGGCCACAGCTGCCCTTGCTGTTTTATGGGGTCAGGGGCTGTGTGGAGCCAACACATATGGGCTGGTGACATCATGTCTGCAGGGGTCCCTTGGGGTCTAGCCCAGCTGCAGAAGCCTGGCTGGGGGTCCTGGATCCCTGGGGGATAGGAGTCGGGTGACTTCAGCAAGGTGGGCCACATTGAGGCAGGCAACAATGCTTTTACAGCTGCCTCCTGAGGCCCTCGACACCACTCTGGGCAACGGTACCAGCAAGCACTGTGCTTAGCTGCAGAGGCCCCGGGGGCTGGCAGCTCCCCTCACCTTGCAGCAGGCGTGTGTGGTAGAGGAGGGAGTGATCTGTAGCAGGCTCTGCTGGACCCCGTGGGGGAGTCTGTTGACAGCCCAAATAGAGACCTACTGAGTCCTCCCATTTTACACGTGAAAAAATGGGGGCTCCAAGAGGTGAAGCAGCTTGTCTGGGGTGACACAGCTGAAGACCCCTAGCTGGTGGGCTCCTAATCCAGTGCTCCTTATGTCTCATACCAGTGGACGCTGCCTGGCCCTGGCATGGTGGCTCAGGGCAGTGGAGGTGGAGGAGCGGGCAGGGGTTGTTGCCACAGTCCTGAAACACTTCCTAGGGGAGGTGGCTGGTTCGTGTTGAGTCTTGAAGCCTTTTCATGGGGGTGGGATCAGCGGGGGTCCCATAAGTGCCCCTTACTCCTGCAGGCATGGACTCCTCCCGTCTGGCTCCCTACGTTTGGCCCAGGTCCAGGTGGGTGACAGTGGCCACTACGAGTGCACAGCCAGTAACCCTGCGGGGTCCACCTCCCGTGGCTACGTCCTCAGGGTGCAAGGTAGGGCAAGCCCCTGCCTTGGTTTCTTCCTCCATCTCTGTTCCCCAAACCCTCCCATGACCAGGACATCGAGGTCCTGTCACCTCTCCCTCTGTGGGACCTGGGCGCCTGCTCACCTACCTGTCCTCAGTTCTGTGTCTCCTTCTTAGCCCCTTTCTCCCCATACTCCTTGGTTGGGGCCCGGAGATACTGCTCAGGGGCCCCCAAGGATGCAGGGCAGACCACAGTGGGGTCCTAGATTTGGGAGGCCTTGGGGGTTGGGAGGAGGGTCTGACAGCATCTCTGCCTGGTGCTGGGGCCCAGCCCAGGAGCCTAGGGCTTGGCGGTGCCAAGAAGCTCGAGGAGGGCGGCGCCTGTAGCTCAAAGGAGTAGGGCACGGGCCCCATATGCCGGAGGTGGCGGGTTCAAACCCAGCCCTGGCCAAAAACTGCTAAAAAAAAAAAAGAAGAAGAAGAAGCTGGAGGGTGTTGCTCAGAATCCCTCTCCTGCTGGAAACATCTAAGGCCCCCAGGGAGCCCCTTAAGGGCCCCAGCTCCTTCCTAGCCCATTCAACTAGGCACTTTATGTACCTGTGGGGGGCGCTGCCATTCAGTCAGCACTTGTATGCAGGCACCAGCCTTGCTCCTTACCCATTTCCTTTGGTGGAGTCCTGCGCACCCCACAGTGGGGCTGGTCCCAGTCCAGGCTGGGGGTCCTGGGGTGGGTATTCACCTAGGTATCCAGGTCCCCTTCAGGGAGTCACTCAGTCAGAAAAGCAGGGAATTTGGCCTCTTAAAGAACCTAGGAGTCATCCAGACCAGGATACACTGTGGCCCCAGGGCCAAATGTGGCCACCTCCTGTTATCACTGGAACCATGAACAAAGAATTGTTTCTACTTTTTAAAATAATAGAACCAAAAAACCCTATACAGATAATTTTTGTGATATTTTATTTTTATTTTTATTTGAACCAAGAGTCTTATTCTATTGCCCTAGGCTAGAGTACCATGGAGTCGTATTTCACAACCTCAAACTCCTGGGCTCAAATGATCCTCTTGCCTCAGCTTCCAGAGTAGCTGGGACTACAGGCACCCACTACTGGCTAGTTTTTCTATTTTTAGTAGAGATAGTTTATATCTATCTATCTGTCTGCCTGTCTATCTATCTATCTATCTATCTATCTATCTATCTAATTTTTGTAGTTTTTGGCCAGGGCTGGGTTTGAACCCGCCATCTCCAGCATATGGGGCTGGTGTCCTACTCCTTTGAGCCACATATATATTTTTTAATAGAGATGGGGTCTTACTCTTGCTCAGGCTGGTCTCGAACTCCTGAGCTTGAGCAATCCACCTGCCTCAGCCTCCCAGAGTGCTAGGATTACAGGCATGAGCCACCATGCTCAAACTATTTGGTGATATTTTAATTTCAAACTCAGTATCCATAAACTCAGGTTTTATTGGAACATAGTGCACACATCTGTCTGTGTTATCTGTGGGTGCTTTTATGTATAAAGGCTGAGGTAAGAGGTTGAGATAGGTCGTCTGGCCCATATAGCCGAAAGTGTTCATCGACTGATCCTTTACAGAGTAGTTTGTAGACTGCTGTTCTATGCTAACACCCCATTTACTAATGGACAGCCTGGGGGGACCCCAAAGGTTTGCCTGGGTTTGCAAGGGGATGGTAAGAGAGAAAAGGAGGCAAGGTAAGGCACAGAGTCTCAGAATCAGCAGAGCTGGGTTTGAATCTTGACTGTGCTCCACTGGCTGTGTGACCTTCGGCCAGTTTCTTGGCCTCTCTGAGCATTGCTTTCCTGCTTTGCGAAGCAGGGACCACAATATACACATCCCAGAGTTGTCAGAGGGTATCAAGGACATTGAGTGCTCAGAACAGTGGAAGCTGTTATTGTTCTTAGCAGTTGTGTGTGAGGACATGTGGGCAGGCTATGTGTACCTTTGTGCCCCTGGCAGGGAGCCTTCCTGGGCAGTGATGCCCTGGGCTGAGGGGCTGGTCTCTGACCAGGGCCAGGTGCCCACAGAAGGTTTTATCTTTGGCTCCTTCTTAGAGGCTGAGGAGTGGGGTGTATGCCTCTGCTTCCCTGAGGATGGGACACTCATTCTGGGGTCCCATGTGGAACCAAAGCCAGCTGGTCCCTGGAGTCCAAGAATTCCCCTGTGCTCACTTGGTCCGGGCCCTCAGGAAGCCACTGAGATTCCTGGTTGCTCAGAACCAGGGTTGGTGCTGACTCTAGCTCCTAGCAGCTGAGGGAGGGATGACTCTGGCCAAATCTTAGAAATTTTTGAGCCTCAGTTGCCTTATCTGCAAAATGGGTGGGAACGGCATCACCTGTACTATAGAGGGACTGAATGAGATGGTGGGTGAAACAGGGACTTGAAATCACACATGGGAGAGAAATGGAAACCACCATCCTTTCCACAGCTTAGCGAAAGGAAAGCTCAAGGCAGGAATCATGTCCAGCTAGAGAGACACTGGCCGCAACTCCTCCCATTGTGGGCCAGGGCACTGCGTTGCCTCTTACTTCATCTTGGGAGGAGGACTTTGTGACAAGGGGAAGCAGGCTGTGGCTGGCACAGGGTCCAGCACCTATGAGGAGCTGAGCAGGGATGCATGTGCTGCCTCAGTTTCCCCATGTGTGCACTGAGCTAGATGAATCCCGGGTGTTGGATGCGCTAGCAGGCAGCAGGAATGAGTCTCTTGTGAGGGTTGTGTGTTCAGCTGATGGCCAGACTGTTCACTCAGGGTCCATGCAGGGTGTCTTCATGTCTTTTCCTGCCAGTCTCAGGTTGCACCATGCTAATTTTGCTGATGACATCTGAGATGTGATCTGGTCTGGGCTCTGGGACCCTCACTTGGTTCCCTACTTGACACCCCCTCCCTGGACCCCGTCAGTGCCTCCTCAGGTGCAGCCAGGCCCTCGAGTCCTGAAGGCGCTGGCGGGAGAAGCCCTGGATCTGAACTGCGTGGCCGAGGGCTACCCTGAGCCCCAGCTGACCTGGTCCAAGGATGGGCAAGCCCTGTGGGGTGGGGGACCTGAGGGCTCTGTCCACTTTGCGGCCATCAGAACCTCTGACGCTGGTAGATACCGCTGTGAGGCCTCCAACAGCGCTGGGATGGACTCCTGGGAGGTGGAACTCAGAGTGCTGGGTAAGTCTCCCCAAACCCCAGAAGCCTTCTCTCCCCACCTCCCCTGGTCACTGCCTGGACTTCCAAGGTGCTCATCTCTGTCCCAGGTTCTGTGTCTGTCCCCTTCTTTCCCAGGACAAAGAGACAGCATGGCCTTCTCTGGGAGGACCTCCTGGCCTCCACAATCATGGGGCTGTCCTGTGTCCAAGGACCCTGTCAGCCCTTGGGTACTAACCACCAGGTCCTCAGAGCCACCAGCAGGTGTTCCCTGAACTTCTTCCCTTCTGCCCATGACCTTGGGGCTCTGAGTGCCTGGGTGGACAGAAGCACATGGGCTAGTCATCAGAGTAGGAGATGGATAACCACAGGCCAGTCATCTATACTCTCTGACCCCTGCAGTTTGCACCTGTGAAGTGGGGGAGTCCATGAGAGAATGTATGAAGCACCTGGCACATGGAAATTTCTGGATCAGTGGTGTTAGCAGTTGTTCTGTTACTTAGAAAGCTGTTGCTGGAAGGGGGTGGAGATGGGGGCAGGATCACACTTGGCCCCTGGTTTTTTTTTTGTTTTTTTTTTTTTTTTTTTTGAGACAGAGCCTCAAGCTATCCCCCTGGGTAGAGTGCCGTGGCATTACAGCTCACAGCAACCTCCAACTCCTGGGCTCAAGCGAGTCTCCTGCCTCCGCCTCCCAAGTAGCTGGGACCACAGGCGCCCGCCACAACGCCCGGCTATTTTTTGGTTGCAGCCGTCATTGTTGTTTGGCGGGTCCGGGCTGGGGATTCGAACCCGCCACCTTAGGTGTACGTGGCTGGCGCCTTAGCCGGTTGAGCCACAGGCGCCGAGCCTGGCCCCTGGTTTTTTTTGGCCCCTGTTTTGAGAGTACAAACTGATTTCCCTGAGCCTGCGGGCCACGGCCCTGGGGCTGTCTCATGGGGGCCACCCTGGGGAGGACAAGCCAGCACCTCTGGGCCTGGGTCCCAGGGTGGAAGCGACCAAGCTTCAGGCCCAAGGGTATGAGCGTGATGTTGTTGCCTCCTGCCAGAGCCACCCCACTGGGGGGCTGACGAGACCAGCGGCCTGCTGGAGCGAGTGGCCGGAGAGAATGCCAGCCTGCCATGCCCTGCCAGAGGTGAGGCTGGCTTGAGTGAGCCTGGGCAGGTGAGGGGTGGGGTGGGCTGGGGAGAAGCCCCCACCCACATTCTAGCAGCTGGCGGGGGAGGGGGTCACACAGTGGGTGGCACCCATGCGTTATGGAGGGTTAGGATTTCTCACTCCTTGCTGGCACCAAACTGGGCATTTCAGCCCATCTATGACCGTGTAGGGTGGCAGTTATCACTGGGGCCATTCAGCTGTGATCTGCAGTTGTGACCTGTGGTCACGCAGCCAGGGCATGACTCACAGAATGGGGTCTAGTCTGACCCAGCCCTGCCTGTGCCCACTCCAGCTGCTGGGGTATGACAGCTGAGGCTGAAGTGGCCCAAGGTCCTTGTGGATTGGGGGTTGGTGGTCCCTGCCTCTCCCCCAAACCCCAGACTTTCTCACAAAGGGTAGATTTGTGTGGTCCTGGGAAAACCTGGTTTTCTAGAGCCCTCTTTGGGACAGGAGCTCAGTGTGGGGCCCAGATGGCCACCTCTGTGGTTAGCTGTCCAGCACCGGACCCCGCCGCAGCCCTTCCTGGGTGTGTAGCCTCAGTTTCTTCACATGTATAAGAGGTCCTAGGAGCCCTCTGCACAGGGCTGTGGTGGGAACTCAGTGGTGTCATGAGTCTGAGGTTCTGGCTCCTTGCCTGGCACATCTTAGAGGCTCAGGGCCGTGCACTGGCTGCATGGCACCCACCTTCCCATGAACTTCACAGCCCTCACGACAGATCCCACCCCGCCTGGGTGTGTCTTTAGGCTTTGGGCTCTTCCATGACTGGTGAACGTGTTGCTCCTTGGGGATATGCTGTCTCCCCTGCGTGGGGTTGGTGTTTTCCAGGAGGTGCTGTCTGGCTTTCTTGGTAGCAAGTGGCAGGTTACAAAAGATCCTGGTGGGAGCCATAGTGCTGGCGGTCTCAGCGGTTCCTCCTCCAGCCGTGGGGCGCCAGGGAAGCCCCTGGAACAGGACTGGGGTAGGGGGAGGCAGGCAGGGGCAGGGTAGGGGCAGGTACCCGGCTGAGCTCTGGGAAGCCCTGGCTTTCCTGTGCAGAGCTGCCCTCAGGGAGAGATCCAGGTCCTGGGCCTGTGACCATGGTGCCACCTTGTGTCAGTCCCTGGAAATAGCAGCCCCTCTGTGCTCTCAGGAGGTGGGAGGTGGGACTCCCCACCCCTCCCAACCCCGCCCTGCACCCGCCAAAGTCAGCACCTCCATCAGCATCCCCATCCCTGGGCATTCAGGGGCCTGTCCTCTGGCCAGACTGAGCCACCTTGGCTTAACTGCCCCACCCACAAGTCTTCTGCCTGCCAGGTGACGGGGTGGGACCTTGGGCTCAGAGGGCTAAGGGGACAGCACCAAATTCAGTGCCCACACCTGAGTGGGGGTCCTGGGACCTGTGGTGATACTATCTGCTGCTTCCTCGGTGGGGGGGGGACACCCACTTGCTGGTGACTCTGGACTCTCCTCTGTGAAGTATGGAGGGGGAGACAAAGTGACAGTCAATGACATCTCATGCCCCCACCCCCCGAATTTTCCTGCCCAGAGCTTCGAGTGTCTTGCAGTTACAGTTCTTTATGGGTCAGAGTTTTTGCATTAAAGAAAGTTCCAGAGTTGAAAACCCATTGCCCCTCCACACCAGTCGCCATGGAGTGCGGGTCCCCAGGGTGGTGGGAAGGATGATGGCTCTTGGGGGAAGCTGCGGGAGGGAGGGTGTGTGTGGTATGTGATGCATGTGCAGTGTGTGTATTGGATGTGGTACATCTGTTGTATTTGGTGTATGTGTGAAGTGTGTTCCCATAGTGGGGGTGGCAGTTCCCAGCAGGGGACAGCAGGCACAGAGAGATCAGGTAACTGGCCCCCAGACCAGGGTGACTGGACACAGGCACAGCTTCCTAGTCTTCCCCAGCCAGCAGTGTCTTCAGCCCTTTAGGTCCTGGCCCCTGGCCCCCACACCTATGGCCGCTCTGCCCTGCAGCTGAGAGGGCAAAGGATCGGGGGTCAGGGTGTGTGTCTGTGGCAACCAGCTGCCAAGGCAAATGGCAACTTCAAGACAGGGGTTTTCAGGACATTGGTGTTAGTGGTGACAGTCCTGCTGACCAGTAGAGGCTAAGGACGGTGGGTGTGACGGAGGTGTGGGGGTGCTGACCTGCCAGTTTGGGGAGTGGCCCCATGGCCTCCCTTTAGCCCAGTGCTGAGGCTGGACAGCAGGTGAGAGTGAGAATGGCTGTGTCCTAGGGTTGCCCAGTGTGCCACCACAGAGCAGGGTGCACAGCTGGAGCTCTTGCTGTGACCTCTACCTCATGGGTGTATGTGCACCTGGGGTTTGGGTCTTTCACTCAAGGCCCATGTGAAGACCCCCTCTGCCTAGGCCCTGTTCTTGGGCTGGTGACAGTGACAGTCCACTCAGAGCCCAGCTGTTTATTGTGCAACCACTATGTACTGGGCCGTGTGGACAGAGGTTAGACATTCCAACATGAGGAGTGTCGGAGGATGCAATGGGAGTGTGGCCAGCAAAGTGATAGGCCTGTGCTTGTGGCTTCATGAAGGGAGGATCAGGCTGGGCAGAGCTGGTGCCTCCCACCATGTACACACCGACCCCACCACACCACGCAGTGTGCTGGGCTCGGCCAGCTCTTGGTTGATTTAGCACCTGCTGTGTTCCAGGCACTGCGCCAACATTTGAGGGTAGGGCAGGGAAGAAAATAAAGACCCTGGGGAGATGGACAATGGATGGTAGAAGCCTAAACAATTATTGTGTCCTCTGCTGCATTAGAAAGTTGGGGTGAAGCACAGAGGGAAAATGCAAGGCAGGGCTGGGGGTGTGGTGGGGGTGCAGTCTAGATGAAGGGACTGGGTGGTGCCTTGCTGACAAGGGAACTATATAACAGGCCTGTGCCCCAGTGCCTTGGGACCCTCAGGGACCCTGGGGGGACATGGGCATGCAGCCTGGGTGGGTGGCAGGTGTGGGCAGCAGCTCTGAGGGAAATGCTCCTTTTAGCCCAGGGGAGGTGCCTGGACCCACCTGCTGAGGTTCTGACACTCATGGAGGACAGTGCTAATGACTCTGCTCTCTGTCAGGGACACCTGCACCACAGGTGACGTGGCGGAAGGGTCCATCCTCAGAGCCCCTGGGGGGCCAGCCGGGTGTGGCAGTTCTGGACGAAGGGTCTCTCTTCCTGGCCTCCGTGTCGCCCATGGACAGTGGAGACTATGAGTGCCAGGCCACCAACGAGGCAGGCTCTGCATCCAGAAGAGCCAAGCTGGTGGTTCATGGTAGGCAGGGACCCCAGAGCTGGAGGTGGGGACCCAGGGACCAGCTTGTGCCCTCCTTCCATGTCCCTGGCTGGCAGAAGCCCATAATGATGCCAGGGTCTGATGTACATCTGAGTGCCCTGGTACAGCAGCACCAGCTCACCAGGGCCCGAGAGCTCCCTGCAGAGGAGGATCAGGTCCCTACCCCCAGGCACTGTCCAGAGGAAAGGCTTGTGGGAGTTGGGAGAGGGGCAGGTGACACAGGGAGTCACCCATGGAGAGAGCATGGAGGAAGCCCCTGGCTTTTTAAATGGCCTAGCGGGTGAGTTCATGTTAAAATGAGCACCAGCTCTGTTCACCACCCAGCTCCTTGGCCTCAGTTCCCACAATCCTGATGCCAGGGGTGGCTGGGTCTTCACTCACTGCTCCCTTTGGCTCTTCTGCCCAGATTGCCGAGGCCAGTGGCAGAGAGCAACAGAGCCCACCTTTAGGGTAAACTGACCTGAGGCTCTTGTACATCACCACAGCAGTGTATCTCACCCCTTGCCAATGGTGCTGTGAGTGGGAGCCCCCCAACATGGTGGGAGCACCGCCACCAACTGTCCCTGCAGGTGGGATGCACACCAGACTCCTGGGTCCCTGTTTATGACTCCATGTGAAGACAAGCCTAGGCCCCACCTTCAGAGATTCTGACTTGGGGGGACCCTCTCAGGTGGCTGTGACACTGGGCAGGGTATAGACCCACATGCACCCAAGGACTCTAGCACCTTTCATAGCTGAGCGTCAGAGAGTATAGCACCCAGGCCTGGACCTCCCAAGGTGTGCCAGTCCCAGGATGAGGCTACTGCAGCCATCTGCAGGCCTACAGGGCCCCTGTGGCCAGATCAGTGGCCAGGCACACCTTCTGAGATTCCAGTGAGAAGCAGAAAGGCAGTTGCAAGGCTATGGGAAGGGGCGGCAATTGAGGCTGCCTGTCCAGGCCACCAAGAATGGCCTGGATGGGCACCAGTGGCTATGACTCCAAGGGAAGGGAGGCAGCTTCTTGCTCTCTCTGCCCCCAGTCCCCCCCAGCATCCGGGAGGATGGGCGCAAGGCCAACGTGTCAGGCATGGCCGGGCAGTCCCTGACACTGGAGTGTGACGCAAATGGTTCCCCATCCCCAGAGATCGTGTGGCTGAAAGACGGGCAGCTGGTGAGTGTGTCCCTGGGCTAGATGGGCTGCAGGTCAGATTTGGATTGGAGACAGTGGATGGTTGTTCCTGCATGCGCCAAGGTGTGGTGAGGGGGTGTGATGGGTGTTTGGGGGGATGTACCAGGGCTCAGGGTAGTCAGAGACTGGTCCTGTGGGGAAGCCTGAGGGCTGCAAGGTGGAGGGAGCACATCACTGCTCTGCTCACCACCCAGCTCCTTGGGCCTCAGTTCCCACGATCCTGGTGCCAGGGTGGCTGGTCCTCCACTCACTGCTCCCTCTGGCTCTTCTGCCCAGATTGCCGAGGCCAGCAGCCACCACCTGCTGGATGGGGCCCGCTCCCTGCACTTCCCCAGGATCCAGCAGGGTGATTCTGGCCTCTATTCCTGCCGGGTGGAGAACCAGGCTGGGACTGCCCAGAGGGACTTCAATCTCCTTGTGCTCAGTGAGTGAGGCCTGAGCCCCTGCAGCTCCCAGGCGTGTCTGGCCCTGCAGCCCTACTCATGTAGGCAGAGAGCAGGGCCACCTGCCCAGGACTGGGAGGGAAGGGCGAGCTGGGCAGGAGCTCTGCACATGCAAAGACCCTGTGGTCAGCAGGGTTTGCAGGTGTGAGCGCTTTTCCACCCCTTCCCACTCCCAGTCCCGCCATCTGTGCTTGGAGCTGGGGCCGCCCAGCAAGTGCTGGGCCTGGCTGGTGCTGATGTGGAGCTGCGATGTCAGACGTCTGGGGTCCCCACACCCCAGGTGGAGTGGACCAAGGACGGGCAGTGAGTAGCGCCCCCTGGCGGACAGAGTGGGGATGGTGCCTGGGCCGGGTCACCTGGATGGGGGTTTGGGGGAGGTTGAACACTTTCAAGGAGGCTGACGGGTCTGGCATATGCCACCCGGGCTGGGACTGAGGACAGCACAGGTGCCTCCTGCCCAGCAAGAGATCATCCACAGAGACCTGCTCTGCCTTGGCGGATCTTATCATCACTCAGTCTTCTTTTGTTTAAACTTTTCTTTTTTAGATAAAACACGACATGCAATCAACCATTTTAAAGCCCACAGTTCAGTGGCATTTGGTCTTTCGCCGCATGGGGCAGCCATCGCCTCTGTCTAGTTTCCAATATTTTATCCCCCAAAAGGAAAGCCCGTCCCATCAAGCATCACCCAGCCCCCTCCCTGCCCTCTCTCTGGACACACTGGCCTTTGTGTCTGGCTCCTTCCTCTCAGCATAATGTTCTGAGGTTCATCCACAGTATAGCGAGCATCAGATTTACCTTCCTTTTTATGGCTGAATAATATTCCACTGTGTGGGCAGACCAGGTGGTGTGTATCCGTTCCTTGGATGCCGGCCATTCAGGTGCATCCCCCTCTTGGCGACTGTGAGTGGTTCAGCCCTCCTTTCACAAGCTCTGGCCCCCATCGGCAGCTTCCCACCCACCTCAGTGTTGGGCCCTCACTGACCTTTGATCTTCTCTCAGGCCTGTCCTCCCCGGACACCCTCACCTGCAGCTCCAGGAGGATGGCCAGGTTCTGAGAATCGCCAGCAGTCACCTGGGGGATGAGGGACAATACCAGTGTGTGGCCTTCAGCCCAGCCGGCCAGCAGGCCAAAGACTTCCAGCTCAGAGTCCATGGTAAGCCCTAGTACCTTCCAGGCCCCACCACAGGCTGCTTGGGAAGCTGCCCTCTGCCTTGGAAGGAGGATGAGGACAGAAAATGGGGTCCCTAGCCTAAGAAAGCTAGAGTGGGGGAGGAACAGAGGGCTTCTGGCTCAGCATTTCCCAAATTGGATGTTTCTATGCCAGCTTCACAGATTTTACTACTGATACTACTTGGAATGATGATTATTAAACCTTTTTCTTTAAATCAGCCACTTTACCCCAAAACACATTTATTTAAAAGGATATGTAAATTTAGATAAATATGTAAATATTGCAACTGTCCGTGGGAACCAGCGCCACTTGGCACTAATGGTAGGGGGCTGAGAAAACACTTACGACCCCATGTTGTGAGTGCTCAGTGTGGGCTGGGCGGAGGGTACCCACCTGCACCTGTGCTTCCTGTGCCAAAAGTGGAGGGGAGAAAGTGCTAGAAAGGTAAATGAAGCACACGCACAGTAGCACCAAGTGCAGGCGTTCTTGCCGCAACAGGGTGGAGGGAAGTATGGGAAGGACGTCACCACTCCCCTCTGACAGGCAGTTCTTTCATGCTGTATCCACATGCCCCTAGAGTCACCTGGGGTACCACCAGCGGTGGGTGACTGGCCCTGGGGGTCCTAAGCTAGGCTAGCCCTTCATTTCACAGATGGGGAGATTGAGGCCCAGAGCAGGTAAGTGACCTAGCCTGGTGATCCCAGAGAGTTAGGGGAACGGGGGTCCATAGCCCAGGCCTGTGGTTCTTCCTCACTTCCTGTATCTTCCATATCAACATAGCCCCAAGCCGGCCCTTCCTGTCTGTCCCTACTCTCCCCATGCCCTGTGCCTTCCCTGTCCCCACAGTAGAAGCGAGTGATGTGCACAGAATCTGTGGCCCAAGTGCCTGAGCTACCACTATTGCCTGCCAACCAGCTTGGACCACCTGTGACCAGGCCCCCATTGTCCTTCTCAGCACCCCCCACCATCTGGGGCTCTGATGAGACAGGCGAGGTGGCTGTCATGGAAGGCCACCCGGTGCAGTTCCTGTGTGAGGCCCGAGGAGTGCCCACCCCTAATATCACCTGGTTCAAGGATGGAACCCTGCTGTCCCCCAGCGCTGAGAGGGTCTACACAAGAGGCGGTCGGCAGTTGCAGCTGGGGAGGGCCCAGAGCTCAGATGCTGGTGTCTACACCTGCAAGGCCAGCAATGCTGCAGGGGACGTGGAGAAGGCCACCAGGCTGGAGGTTTACGGTGAGGGTCAGGGTCAGGGTCAGGGCAGCTGGGGTGGGCAATGGCAGGGACTCTGAGCCAGATTGGCCTCTGCTTGTTTCCAAAGGAGAGGTGGATGCTTGAAGCCATCAGATACAAGCAGAATAATGGGATAGAAATTTATCCAGGGAGAGGGGCCGTCATGGCTCATCCACCTTCCTTCATTTAAGGAGGAAACTGAGGCCAAGAGCAGGAAGGCCAAGGTGTCATGCAGAGCTGAATCTGGTTTGGGGCCCAGACCCCATGACCCCACTAATAAATAGTTAATCACTTACTACACGCTAGACTGTAGGTGCAGTGTGGCAGTAGCTCATTTAATCAGCTGGCAAAGGGTCTGGGGCTCTGGAATCCCTACTGACAGGTGACCACAGCAGAGAGGCTCTGCAAGGCAGGGAGGTTGCCCAGGATCACACTGCTGGGAGGCGGTGGACTGGCTCACACAGGGTGAATCCACTCCAAGTCTCATGCTGTTGCCCTCAGCACAGGCCTGACTCCAAGGAGCGTGGCTCTGAGGATGTGCAAAGTAGGAGAATTCAGAGGAAATGGGCGTCTGGATGGGGTTGAGTGAAGCCCTGGCGACATTTGGGAGGGTAGCACGCAACCCTGTGGGGTTACCCTGGCTGCTTGTGAGGAGACGGCTCAGGAGCTCCAGCCACAAAGAGGCAAAGGGCTTGGATGCTGGTGCCCTGGGGACCCCCAAGGGGAGTTGGGCTGTGTGGGGTCTGCAGGAAGCCCCCTGTGGATGGGCCCAGCTACCTGCTCAGGGACTCATATTGACATCTGAGGACTCCTGGGAAGTGGAAAGAAAAATGTATTGCATGTGTTTTCCCTAAATTTTCAAAGGGTTGCCAGGTGCAGTGGCTCACACTTGTGATCCCCATGCATTGGGAGGCCATGGTAGGAGGATTGCTTGAGACTAGGAGTTCAAGATCAGTCTGAGCGACATAGCAAGGCCCATGTCTACCAAAAATTAAAATATGAGCTGAGTATGCTGGCACACGCCTGTAGTCCCAGCTACTTAGGAAGCTGAGGCAGGAGGATCGCTTGAGCCCAGGCGTTTGAGATTATAGTCAGCAATGATTGTGCTGTTACTCTCCAGCCTGGGTGACAGAGAGACCTTATTCTGGGGGGGAAAAAATTATAGGGCCTATGATCCAAACAAGACTGAGGGGCTTGAGCAGGCTGGAGTCTGGCTCTGGTCCCTGAGCTCTGCAACCTCTTCCCCAGTCCCACCCACCATTGAGGGTGCCAGTGGAGGACCATACATGGTGAAGGCGGTGGCTGGGCAGCCTGTGGAGCTAGAATGTGTGGCCAGAGGCCACCCAACCCCCACCCTCTCCTGGCACCACGAGGGGCTGCCTATGGCAGAGAGCAATGAGACATGGCTGGAGACAGGTGGCGTGCTCAGGCTGCAGAGCCCAGGGGAGGCATCCAGCGGCCTGTACAGCTGTGTGGCCAGCAGCCCTGCAGGAGAGGCTGTGCTCCAGTACTCCGTGGAGGTGCAGGGTGAGCCCAGCCCGTCCCCCCAGTGCCGCCTATGCTGCGGACTTTCGCCCATGCCTGCTATGCACTTGCCCTGAGCAGCCTAGAGGGGACGGAGTGTGGCAGAAAAGTGACCAGTGTTCCGGTGTTGCATGCCACAGATGAGGATGCTGAGGCCTGGGCTGGGGGCTGGCAGGGCCAGGGGAGAGCAGAGTGAAGCCCCAGGTTGGAGAGTCCCTCATTTAAGCTGGAGGAAGCCATTCCGTCTTCTGCTGATGGAATGGGCATTTATAGAGACCTTCCTGAGCTGACTCGTGGGTGCTGGTCCCAGAACAGGGTGGGCAGGGCCTTCCGTCCACTCAGCAGATGCAGCTTAAGCACTGGCTGTGCTGGCCCTGTGTGGTACTAGGGCAAAGCAGGGAGCAAGGCCAGCCCAGCTCCCGAGCTTCAGTGTGCTGAGTGGACATTGTGTAAACAGGCCCCGCCTGTAAAGAGGCCAGGGGGCCCCTCATCTGGCCTTGGGATAGCCCTGGAAGGCCTCCTGGAGGAGGAACCATTTATAGGGAGGCCTAAAAGATGAGGTAAGGCTGGGAGGGATGTCAGGGGCTGTTTGGGTCCAGGCTCTGATGGTGGGTCTTGCCTACAGTGCCCCCACAGCTCCTGGTGGCTGAAGGCTTGGGCCAGGTGACCACCATTGTGGGACAACCCTTGGAACTTCCCTGCCAGGCTTCGGGTTCCCCAGCACCCACTGTCCAGTGCGTATGGTGTGGTGGAGGCTGTGTGTGTGTGTGGGGGGGGTGGCAGTAGCCGGGGGGAGCTGTTTCTGTCCCCAGGAGTATGGAAGAGGCCCAGAGTGGAGCAGGAATGATGAGAACTGGTGGGAGGTGCCTCGAAGCTCCCTGGCTTGTCCTGTCCACCCTTCCCTACCTCAGGCTGACCTATCCCCTCCCCACCCACCTTAGGTGGCTACAGAATGGCCGCCCAGCCGAGGAACTGGCTGGGGTGCAGGTGGCCTTGCAGGGGGCCACGCTGCACATCAACCATGTGGAGCTGGGCCACGCGGGCCTCTTCTCCTGCCAAGCCACCAATGAGGCAGGCACTGCGGGGGCTGACGTGGAGGTGTCTGTGCATGGTGAGTGGACAGCTGAGGTTCTGGGGTCACAGGGAGTCAGGACGCAAAGGCTGGGTGGAGCCAGGAAGCTTTGGCAGGCCTGGGAGGGCACAGCGCGTGTTTCTGGGCTGGACTTCCCAGTTCCCTGCAGATGTGAATGTGAGAGGCTTGTTTGGGGCACACTGCACACTTGTCATCTGTCCTGTCTGGCAGCCAGGCCCTCACTTCTCTCCTTTCTTTCCATCCACTCTCTTTGCGCTAATCATGCTGAACTTGATTCTGTTCTTTAAGTACGTCAGCAATACTTGCACTCTCTCCTCTCACCCTCTCACCTCTGAGCCTGCATACACTGTTCCCTGCCTGGAATATTCTTCCTCCTCTTTGCCTGCCTCGCTTCTCCCTATCTTTCAGGTACATCCTGAAACACCTCTTCCGCCAGGAAGCCTTCTTTGATTCCAACAATGTTCTAGTCTGCACTGCCCAGCCTTTCACCACCGTAGCCCACCACCCACTATGCTGGGGCAGCTTGTTTGGTTGTCTGGCTCTGCTGTCCAGCTCTGTGAGCTCTGTGAGGGAAGCATGGTGGCCACCTTTCTCTGCTGTGTCCGGGGCTCTAGTGTAGCTCTGGGCACAGAGTAGATGTTTAACACACAGAGAGACGCATGGATGGATGGGAGGATGGGTGGGAGGTTGGATGAATGGGTGAGAGCATGGGTGAGTGGATGGGTGGAGGGTGGGAGGATGGGTGGGAGGTTGGATGAATGGGTGAGAGCATGGGTGAGTGGATGGGTGGAGGGTGGGAGGATGGGTGGATAGATGGGTGGGTGGTGGGAAGATGGGTGGATAGATGAGTAGATGGATGGGTGGATGGATGAATGAGTAGATGGATGAATGGATGGGCAGGTAGATGGATATATGGATGGATGGTAGAATGTTTAAAGGGAAAGAACTGCTCAGCTGGTTCCCTACCTGGAGCTCCTTCTGCTAAGCCAGGTATCTGGGTGGGTGGGGGGGCAGAAGCTAGAGGCCAGCTCTTGGCCCATCCCTTCAAGTCTACCCCCCCTCCCCCAGGCATTGAGGGGGCTACTGGGAGCCCACTGTGCCCTTTCTGACCCTGATCTGGGCTCTCCCACCTTTCCCCAGAGTCCCCATCAGTTAACATTGTCCAGGGTGAGAACATCACAGCTCCTTTCCTGCAGCCTGTGACCCTCCAGTGCACAGGTTCTGGGGTGCCTCCCCCAAGCCTCCGCTGGTGGAAGGATGGGGTGGCCCTGGCATCTTCTGGGGGGAGACTGCAGGTATGTGCAGGGGCCTGAGGGCTGGTGGGCCAACTGGGCACAAGTGATGAGGGCACTTTTAGGGTCCTGGGGGTAAGGCAGGCACAGAGCCCTGCCAGCCTGGGGGTGGGGTGGGGGAGGGCTCAGCCTCTTCCTGGTCCCAGGAGCTTCAACTGTCAGAGGGAGAAAGTGGGGGACAGGGCAGCATACCTAGAGATCAGAAGGACTCCTGGATTCAAGTGCTTGACTCCTACTTGACTCCCAGAGCCAGGCCCTGCCCAGGGATTAGGGACATCTGTCCACACTGGGCCCTGTGGCTTCACTGTGTGCGCAGCCCCACAGCGCTCTGTGTCCCCCCAGATAGAGAAGGTGGACTTGAGGGACGAAGGTGTCTACACTTGTGCCGCTACCAACCTGGCTGGGGAGAGCAAGCAGGACGTGGCGCTGAAGGTTTTGGGTAAGGACATGGGGCCCAGGCCCCAGGAGGTGGGAGACTCCCCAAGACCCCTTGGGGCTGCATTGTGTGGCTGGAGAGTCATAGTTGTGCTCTTAAATTTAGGAGTGGAAGGTCCTAAAATGAAAGCATAAGCAACCACTCTGTGGCCCCTTCAGGGTGTTTTGGTGGAGTTTTAGTGAGGCCTTGCCCACATTTCCATTTACCTTTGCTTATCTTATTCATTTGGCGGTTCATTTGTGGGGAAATCTCTGTCCTTGTCACTTCCTGTGGCTGCAGGGGATCCCACCTCCCCACTGTGCCAGCTGTCGGCTGTCCCTGGGGTCTGGGCACTGCCATGGTCCTTGCAAAGTCGCAATAAACATTGTGCCATTGCCCTTTGGTCTCGGCTGGGGTGGGGTCCTGGGTCAGAGGACAGGAGTCATTTTGGAGCTTTGTTATCCCAGAACTTGGGGGAGAGTAGGGGAGGGGCACTGGGGTGGCAGAGCCTGCCCACACCAAGCTGAGGCTCCCCTTGTCTGTCCCAGTTCCCCCCAACATTGAGCCGGGCCCAGTCAACAAGGCAGTGCTGGAAAATGCCTCGGTGACCCTGGAGTGTCTGGCTTCGGGTGTGCCCCCTCCTGGTAAGACCCCTTCTCCTGGCAGGAAGCCACCTGCACATATAATGAGGTTGGCGAGTGCCCTGGACTCCCTCTCCCTGTGGGCTCCAGGAGAACTTGGCAGGCCCTTCTGCTCTCTTCCCATCTCCCCACTTCCTCTTTGACAAGGCCATCGAGCCACAGCACTGCACTGCCAGGGCCCTGAAGAAAGCCCTCAGGGCTTCTGCTCAGACTTGGCAACTTCACAGGGCCACCCTGGCCAGGGAGTGAGGCCCAGGCCCTCCAAGTCACAGGCTGGCCTCTTCTGTAGACCTGCAGTCGAGGAAAGGGCTGGGTGCTTAGGGCTAGGTGTGCCTGCTTGGCATGTGGAATAGGGGTGATGCTTATTGTGGTCCCAAAGGAAGGCCCCTCGCCTGTCCCCCATCTGAGCCAGATCCATCCCACTTCTTATGGGGTAAGCAAGCCCTGGGGCATTTGCCCCCTCCCATAGGGGCCCCTGTTGAGCTCTGGGGGGCTGGGAAGGATGTAAGGAGCTGCAAACACGTGATCCAGCCCTGTTTATGAGGCCCATATCCTCTAAAGCCCTCCCAGGGAGAAGTCTCCTGGGAGGGGTGAGGGACTGGGCTGGGTTTGACTATTCCTCCCCCCAGCTGCACCAGCCCCCACCCATGGCACTTTCTCTCTGCCCCTGGTCCTGCTAGCACTGCCCTGTTCCACCCCCTGTTCCCCTTCCTGGAGATCTTTGGCTGTCTCTGGTGCCTAAAAAGGAGTGTGGCCACTCTGGAAGTTTCTCTAGGATGCCCACTACACCAGCAGAGTCCAAGGGGCTGGCAGAGCCCCTCACATCTCTCTTCTCTTCCTAGATGTCTCTTGGTTCAAGGGCCGCCGGCCAGTCTCTGCCCGGACAGGTGTGAGAGTATCAGTTGATGGGAGAGTTCTCCGCATTGAGCGTGCCCGGCTCTCTGATGCTGGGAGCTACCGATGCGTGGCATCTAACGTGGCAGGCAGCACAGAGCTGCAGTATGGCCTCCGGGTGAATGGTGAGCTGCCTTGGGACTGACTGTAGGGGCCCTCGTCCCAAAAGTTGTCTTTTCATCTATTTTCCCACCCATTCACCCATCCACTCCACCACCCATCCATCAATCTATCCACCTTCCCATCCATCCATCCACCCATTTATTCATCCATTCATCTAGCAACCTGTCTAACCACTCACCTGTCCTCTTGTCCATCCATCCACCTACCCATCTGTCCATCTACTCATCTGTCTACCTATCTGTCTTTCCATCCATCCACCCAGCCAGCCAGCCAGACAGCCAACCAGCCATCCACGCATGAAAATATTTGACCATCCATCCATTGATTCAACCGTCCATCTCTCCAATCCTCTGCCCGTCCATCCATCCACCCATCTAACCACCCATTTGTCCATCCACCCATTCATCGATTTGGCCACCCATTCCTCCCCCCATCTGTCTTCTATCCAACCACATTTATGGTATCCTTGCTCTGAGGCAGACCCTGGGGCTACAGCTCTGAATAAGGGAGACCTTGGAGCTTTCTGTCTAGCAGAAGAAGCAGTAATGAGATTATTATCCAAAGTATGAGAGGACGACAAGTATGATAAGGGCTAGTAAATGTGGGGCATAACTGAGGGCCTGTAATGGGGCATTGACCTGGCCTGGGGAGCCCAGGGGGCATCTTGGATACCTGGCACCTAAACTGAGACCTCCAGCAAGGCTGAGGCTGCAGACTTGGGGAATTGGAAAAAGTGTGGCTTGGGACCTGGAGCTGACAGCACAGTGAGAGGAGGGGTGTGAGTGGCACTGTGGCTGTGTGGAGGCTGGACCTTCATGGCCCCATGGGCCATGGGAAGGTCTGGGCATTATCCTTGGAGGAGTAGGTCACAGCCAGGGGCATAGGACCTGGGCATTAAGGCTCGTGCCTTCCAGATACGGTAGAATCTTCTCACTTTCTGCCCCAGAGGGATTACCTGTAAGATAGTGTTTCCTGGCTTGG